CACCACACCTCAAGGTAAAGGTTTTGATTTCTTTGGGTTGCTTTGGCACTGCCTGGAGTGAAAATGGCAATGTTTGGGGACAGGGGTTGTAGATTTCCTTGCAAGTTTTGGTAGGAAGCAGGAGAGACTTGTAAGCTGGGATGTTAAGTGTTGCTTCATAAGGGAAGAAATCAGGAGCGTGACTCTTTGCTCCAGCATGTTTCGGATGTGCAGTGCAGTTAGCGTGCCCCATGGGGATGTGGTGCTGGGCTGCGTAAGGGCCTTGGAAAATGAGAGCAGAGCTGGAGGAAAGCCCCCCGCTGCTTCATCTGCCTGCACAGGCATCAGTGCCACTGGGATGCCAGACCGACCCAGCGGCCACTGGGGATGCAGCTCTCTGCGGAGTTATCTTACTGGGGTGCTCTGCTTTGGGGTGGCGGGAGGTTTTACGGGGCTGTGGGGACCATGCCGGGTGGGAGGCGCAGCTCTGCAGCCCGCAGTCTCACGACACTGCCCATTTGAATTGCTGGCTCCTGTCATGGCCACCAAGCTCAGCTGGGTGGCAGGTAACATTACCATGGGAACAGGGAATTCGGAGGAGCTTTCCCACTCTTTAATGATGCTTAGACAAAAAATCTGCAAGAACATGGCCAGGTATTTCAAATCCAAACTAAAGGGCAGTTCCCGGACAGGAGATGCCAGGGACGGCAAGGTTGTATCAGTTGGAAGGGCTTTGTGGGACCAAGTTACAGCCAGGGGCATGTGCAAATGTTTTGCTCTACTGTGCAAATACTTTGCTCCCTGTTGCAGCTGCAGGGACCACAACTGACATGAGGGCTGTCTTCTTGGTGCTGCTCCTCTGGGCCGTAGCCTGCGCTCACCCCGTAAGTACCCACTGGACAGGTATTCAAACCCCAAACCCCGGTGGTTTTGCCCAACCGAGGCACACCGATCACTGATCAGATGTCTCCTGGACGTGTTTAGGTGCCCGGCCGCAAGCCCGCTCGCCCCCGCCGCAGCGCCCAGCAGGAGGTAAGCTGGGGGATACCCCAGTCCCACAGGTGGCAGCCGCTCGTGGAGCAAGTCTGGGATGGGGAGCCAGCCCTGAGCAGGCATCCTTGGACCAGGCACCTGGGGGAAGAGCTGCTGCTTCTGTGGTCTTTGAGCTTTGCCTGTCTACTCAGTCTTTTCAAGCTGGGTTGGTTTCACCTCATTTCGCCTTGCCTCCCTGAGCACGTTCCCAATTCACCTGATGCGTTCTGCTGTGTTGGTCCTGAGAAAGGAGTTTCTGTGCTCTGAACCGTCACGGTTTGGGCTTTTCTGGGTTGCCCTTTTGTTGGTGGCTACCTTTTTTTTGCATCAGCAGAAACAACTGAAGTGCTGAGGTGCGAGCAATGAAAAAGGCTTGAGCACTTGCATGCTTAGGGGTGAAATATCATCCCGCAGCAGTAGCAGTAAACATGGGGCTTTGTGGTGTTTAATAAACCAAAGCACCGTGTCATGTTTTGCCTCCAGGACACAGCAAGCAAAGATTACATCAACAAGCTGGGCAACCTCCTGGGTGGTGGAGATGGCAGACATCCTCCTGCCAGTGCAGAGAGCGGGGACGGTACCCTTGCGGGTGGGAACGCTGTGGGCAAGGAGCTGGGTGAGCATGGTGGCCAGGACAAGGGAGGCAGAGCTGGGAAGGCTCAGCACCTGAACTGGGTGGACCTTGAGGACGCAAGTGCCTGGGACAGGAACAGCCTTGGTTTCCTGGTGAGTGAGTGGAGAGGGGTGTTTTTTTCTGTCAGGAAAGCACGCTTAGCCCCAAATCCGGTGTCAGTCAGGGTAGCACTCGGCCTGTGCAGCGAGCAGTGCTGACAGCACCTGTGACCTGCAAGCCCTTGCATTTGTCTCCATTTGTCACCTCCGTAGGAGGAGGATGCACGTGATGCTGATGATGGTGACAACGGAGAGCACCGTGGCACTGGAGTCAACGGGCTTCCCTCCCACGCTGGCGGGCTCCTGGATGAGGAGGACGACAGTGGGGATGACACCTTCGACGAGAACGGGGAAGAGGAGGGGAGCGAAGCTCCTACTTACATGGCTGGTGCCGATGAGGCAGGCGAACATGGCCACGACGCTGGCCGTGGGGACGTCAGGCCTGGCAGAGGTCATGGTGACAGCAGCAGCAGTAGCAGCAGCGAGAGCATCGGGGCGGACCACTGGCGGT